CATTTTAATTTACAGTTTGTAAAGAATAAAGAGACGAACATATCCAGTGTGGCTGAACATATGAAGAAAACAGTGCCAGCTACAAAAACTAGACAGCAATACTGGGCATACTGGGTATTTCATAATTATGTCTCGGACTGGCAGTGCATTAACACCACAGCAAAGACTAGTATTATATACAGGTGCATCTCAGAAAATTAGAATAGTAGAGGTAATTTTTCCCTGTAATTTAAGTCAAGAAGTGAAACTTTTATATATCCTAGATTCATTAGAAACAAAGTGAAATATATTATATATATATATATATATATATAATATATTTAGAACTTTTTTTGTTTGAATCTTGATAATTATGGCTTACAGCTCATGGAAATCAAACAGCCATATCTCAAAATATTAGAATATTAGAAAAACACACAAGCACACACAATGGAGCCTTGAGAGGATTGCCAAGAAAAGCAGATTCAAGAACTTAGGGGAGTTTCACAGGGAGTGGACTGAGGCTGGAGTCAGAGAATCAAGAGCCACCACACACAGACGTGTCCAGGAAATGAGCTACAAGTATTGCTAGTATCAAGTCACTCCTGAACCAGACGTCAGAAGCGTCTTAATAACGCCTAAATAACTAGATTGTTGCTCAGTGGTCCAAAGTCCTCTTTCAGATGAAAGTAAATTCTGCATTTCATTTGGAAATCAAGGCCCCAGAGTCTGGAGGACGAGCGAAGAGGCACAGAATCCAAGTTTCTTGAAGTACAGTGTGAAATTTCCACAGTCAGAGATGATTTGGGGTGTGATGTCATCTGCTCTTGTTGGTCCACTTTGTTTCAAGTCCAGAGTCAATGCACCATCTACCAGGAGATTTCAGAGCACTTCATGCTTCCATCTGCTGACAAGCTTTATGGAGAAGCTGATTTCTTCCTTTCCTGCCCACAGTGCCAAAACCACTAGTTACTGGTTTGCTGACCACAATGTTACTGTGCTTAATTGGCCTGAACTGAAACTGACCTGAACCCCACAGAGAATCTATGGGTTATTGTAAAGAGGAAAATGAGAGACACCACACCCAGCAATGCGGGCATATATATATATACATGCATGTTAAGTATGGATGTAAGGTACCACCTAATTCTCCCATCTCCCCCATCATAGTATTTTAAAAGATGTGTTATCAAAATGTAAACATATTCTTTAGAATTAGATTTCATTTGTTGTTTTTGTCACCGTTAGGGCTAGCCTTTACTATACATTGTGGTCTATACTGACAACACTCTTGATAACTAATAAATATGCACACATAATATAATGCAGCTGTTTTCCACTCCTGTTCTACATGTAATGTCGTCATCTCTATCTCAGAATCCCTGACCCGACAATTTTCCTGTTTCTTATTCATTAAAATAGCATTATATATCTTACACATGTTGTGTAAAAACATCTCAGAGATTCACAGGCAGGATAATGACATAATCGTTGGGTGGGAGTCTATATTGCAGAATATAAACAAGCTAATTTCTCCTGCTTTTTCAGTGTGCTTCACATCACTCTCTTTGCGTGTTTTGGCTCCATAACTACAAATTGGTAATTTTACATCACTGCAAACCAGTTTCTCAACTATACTCTACACTGCGTGCACAATTATTAGTCAAATTGTATTTCTCAGGATTAATTTTATCGTTGAACAAACACAGCGCTCTCAGTCAATCCAAAATATAACTGAACCTCAAATCTGAATGTTTAACAAAGAAAAAGTGAGTTTTGTCATGCTCAGGATAATATCCTGTATATGTGTGCAGAATTATCAGGCAACTAAATTACCAAAAAAATCTAATGACTTGTTTATTCTCAGTTTAACAGTTTATTCTAAGTGTAACAACACAAAATGACAATAAATAAAAAATTTTGGCCTTTCAAAAATATTTAGTAACCAATGGGTGGCTATATTTTCATGTGCCATGGAGTCAGTTTCTTGATCTGTGATGATCAACTTTCTCTGAAGCAGCAACCCCAGTCTCCCAAATGCTGTTCAAAGAGTTGGATTGTCTTCCCATGACGGTAAATCACACATTTGAGAAGGCCCACAAGTTCTCAATAGGATTCAAGTCAGGTGAGGAAAGGGGCCAGGTCATTATTTGGGCATCTTCGAGGCCCTTGCTTGCTAGCCAAGCAGTGGAATACTTGGTGGATGATATGATGGTAGATGCATGTGATGGATGGTTGTCTTGCATAAAGATCATGGCCTTTGTGAATGCTGAGGAGTTCTTCCTGTACCACTGCTTGAAGATAGTATCTTCCAGAAACTGGCAGTAGGTTTGAGAGCTGAGTTTCAGTCCATCTTCAACCCAAAAGGTCCAACTATCTCATCCTTAATGATAGCAGCCCATACCAGTACCCCTCCTCCACCTATGTCAAAGTGGTGCCGTGTCCATCAGGGATCCAACCACGGGCCATCCATCTGGTCCATCAAGAGTCACTCTCACTTCATTTGTCCATGGTCCAGGTATTTATTTGCCCAATTTTGACGCTTTTACTTGTTTATCTTATTCAGTGGTGGTCATGTCTCAGCCTTCGTGATCTTGGCCATGTGTCTGAGCACTTGGCACCTTGTACTTCTGGACACTCTGGGTAGGTTGCAGTTCTGGATTGCACTGGAGGATAATGGGTTCCTGGTAGCTTTGCGTTTAATTTTACTCAAGTCTTTTGCAGTTAATTTGCGCCTTTTGAGCAAAACAAACCAGAACAAAACATTTGATTGTCCGGTAGTTATACCTCAAAAGTTTAGCTATTTCAAGAGTGTTGCATCCATCTAAATGGCATTTTACAATTTTTGACTTTTCAGTGTCAGTTAAATCTCTTTTTTGGCCTATTTTACGTGAAGTAATGAAGCTGCCTAATATTCATGTACAACTTGATATAAGGCGTCATTAACTTTCACCACACCCTCCCTCATTACACAAATATCACCTAAAAATGATTAGCTCCAATGAGCATTCAAGTTTATATGGTTTGGAGTTGGAAAATGTGCATAGAAATAATTATTCATTCAGAATACTTGCTTGCCTAATAACTGTGCACGCAGTTTGCACATTGATTTCCTGCTTTCTAGGCAGCCACTGGTTTGTCCATTTGTACAAAAATCCAAATTGCAGAGCCTACAAACCAATTTGGCATAAGTAATAAATCAGAGTGAAACTCCCTTTATTTGTTTATCAAACAAACATTATTATAGAGTGATGATCCACTTGACACCACTATGAAAGCAGTCTTTGTTAGTGTGTTTAAGGATGCTTCAACATCTAAGATTTGTTGACCATCAAAAGTAAAGAAGTTGCTGGGAAACCAGTTGCTGAGGACCAGGGCCATAACCAGGGTTTAGAAATTAGTGAGGTCCAGATTTATTATTTTTTTATTTGGTTAATAGAGCTTATTTACGGTAATTCATATGAAAAACTGTTCATCATAGTCTTTCTTGGCTCAATAAAATTGCATAAAATAAGAGACACAGACACAGACAAACTATGATCAAGTAGTGCAAACAGGGAGATCTTGGTACACTTATCTTCACAACATGCATTAGGCTAAATGATACTGAAATGTAGCCTATAACTGTCATCACAGGACTATACTTCTGGAATTGCATGCAGACTACATAAGGGGCGCTATTGTTAGTGTATGACATAAAATAGAGCAGGTTAATGCTGGTTGATAGCCTAATCATTTGACGTCAGCAGGTGTTTGCACTGTTTTGTCACAATTATACGAGCTACATTGGTGTGATGCATGGATGGGCACAGGACAGAGGAAACTCTGCAAAGGAAACAGAATTCTACTTTTAGTTTCTGAAATAATTTAGACACTCTGATAGAGTTCAGCATTGATCAGGAGGACGGCCGCTTTACACCAAACAGTTTAACTTTATGAGCCTGGTATGTGTAGAAGAACACGGAACATTAATGAACATTAGATCCTGTTTCCTGACCGATCTTGTCAGAGTGTCGGGAGATTTAAATATGAAGATATGAAGATATGCTGCTGTGCCTCGTGCGTAAACGTGCACAGCGCCCCTTGGAGACGTTTCACCGTACTTCACCCATCGGGAAATTCACAAAACGTATCGCCCAAGGTTTGCTTTATGTGTTTCCCCAAGTGTGGACACTGATCTGAACAGTTTTTCAGGTTGAAATGAGGGTTGAGATGGTGTAATCAGCTGCATCTGCATGGTCTTAAATCCTTCATTTAAGTTGATCATGTTATCAATGGTTTTTCTTCAAATTATTTTATTGATGGGCTATAGCCTACATATAATTACGGAGGTCCGGACCTCGGTGACCTCATAGCTGCATTATTAGTTGCATACTGGTAGGCTACAAGTTTAAGTTGCTGGCAATTTAATTGCATCCCTTAGTTTGAGTCTAGCCGCAAACTTTTGTTGCATGTCATCCCCTCTCTGTCCTCTGTTTTTCTGTCAGCTCCCTACTGTATACTGTCTTTAAAAAAACACAAAATTCCCCCAAAAAGAATTGTGTCAATCTTCCTACTGTATTACCCTGCAACAATAACGTAACTTTAGCGGGGAAAAATTATATAAATGTTATTTTAATTAGGAGTGACTAAGTGTTTCCTATAGTATAACAAGATAATTTGTTGTCTACCTCAAGCAAGCAAGACAAAACTTTGTAAAATCTTGAAGAAATGAACCGATAGCAATCACTGTCAGCCTGGAAGGTAGGACAAATGCTAAATACTGTGTATGTTTTTATAGGGTGAGACCACATAAATTTCATACCAATCATCTAGTTTGTACTTCTTACATGTTATAATTTTGCTGGCATTCATTATTGTACAGAAATTGCACTCTCTACATGCAAAAAAATGTCTTCTCATAAAGACAAAGATAGTTAGAAGTTTATTGTACATTTTCAGGACATATAAAGGGATGTATTTCTATGAATGTGTGTGTTTGTGTGTGAGCTCATCTCTCTGTGTGTTTGGTGGACCTTTACCGAGCTGGTGGGCCTTTCTGAGGCAAGAGAGGGAGGCGTTGAGTCGGGCACACTCCTCTTCGTTGGCACCAAACTTCTGCAGCAGCTCACACACCTGCTCCTCACTCAAATCCAGCAGGCCCTCCAGGGTCACCTCACCTGGGCTCATCTCCTACAAAACACACACATACACACGTGCAAAAACCATGATACAGATACATTGACACACACACACAGATGCACATACATCATGACGGTCTCATATTAATACATGGAACATTTGGTTTACAGTTAAAGATGCGCTGAATAAGCAGCAGCCTCAAATGACAATAAAAAGAAGTTGTGGAGAAAATGTTCACCTTTTTCAGTGATTATGTTTTATTGTCAGTTAACTAACTGTAACTAACTGTCTGTGGATAAAATGTGGTTGATATTTGTAATTCAAGAGAAAAGTTGAAGAGTTTTCTTGAAGACTGCAGCTTAAACTTCAGCAGTGGAAGTTACAGCTGCTTTGTAGAGAAAATATTAATTATTAATGAGGGAAATATGATGTTAAATCATACAGTATGGTCTTCACAGTCATCGAATCTCAGCTCAGTAGAACACGTATGGGAGATTTTGTTAGACAGCACCCTCTGTCACCCATCTGTACATTATATCAAATATCAGATTTTTAATTTGAGAAATAGCATCTTACATCTCCACATTGTAATTTTGGAAGATCAGTGTCTTTTTGCATGAAAATTGTGACTGGATGTATCTATACCTGTGTGACCTCTTTCCTCAGGTTGACGATGCGGAACCAGTGGCCGAGGCGAGGGAAGTCCTCCAGCTCGGCGCTTCGCTCTTCTAAGGCCACTTTGCACTTACAGGACAGCTGGCGGCTGAAGTACTTCACCAACTTCCCCTGGGAACCACAGGGACAATTACAGTAAGGAAGAGCTGGAAATATGTTACATTTATTTACTGCTGAAGAACCCAACCCCCCCACCGCCCCATTTTCACCTTTTCACATATTAACAAGAATGATTGTCTAAACTCTGAAAAAGAATAGAAACAACTCTGTAGTCTGGGGAAGTGAAAACAAAGAAATGCCTCAACACATGAATTCCATTAGTTTTAGTCTTCAGTCAGAACAACATGTTGACTGGCCATGTCCTGAAAAACTGACCTGTTCTTCTTATCAAAAGCAAGACTGACAATAAACAATGTTAAATTCTGTGTGTAGCATGAAGGCACTACAAACTTTGGTTTTGTTATACAAACTTGTGTTATACAGTGACAAATAAACAACCTTGTAACCTTGAGATAAAAACCCAATAATGTGCCAGTATGTGCTCCTTCTAGCCGCCTCCTTCTGAGAGCAACACGCTCCCTTTATTCTGTTTTACATCTGTTTTACGAACGTTATTGTTATAAATATTGTTATAATTATTATATAATATAATATTATATTGTTCAGTAACATTGTTTACCTAAAGTGTGCTGTTGGTGTATTGTATATTCGTCCCCGAGTTGAGAAATGTCAGTATTTTGTGCATTTTTCTTAATAATCAAGCAAGTAGACTCATAGTACCATTTGTTCCATTATATTGCAAACGCTATAGCAAATCGCAATATTGTCCACAATAATCGCAATATGCCTTTTTCTCCAAATCATGCAGTCCAGTCAATATAAGACATATTTCAAGATTTTTCCATGAGTTCGCTTGTCAAAAAAAAACACTTCAAAGACCTTCTCCAACAATTTGCTGCCTGTACTTTATAAACTTTTGAAAGTCCCACAAATCAAAGTTGTTTGAAATATGACAATGATATTAAAGGAAGGCAGTCTTAAGATCCACACTTAAGAGAGAGGTTACTGTTACTGTCCTGAAAAACACTAGTGAGAAGAATAGTCTCACAGTCAGTGATTTACACCGTTTACTGCGACGGCACTGACACTCTGGAAAAGCAGTGCAGGGAAAATAAATGCAACAAGCTCTGTTCCCATCACTACCAAGATCTCGGTTTGCTCCAGTGGGGCTGCTCAGTGGCTAGTGGTTGTACTTGTGAGTCTTATCACCATGTGCAGACAGTAAAGCAGCAACTGGCCATAACATATCCCTGCATTCATGGTTCCCCTTCGAGGGAACTCGAACTGCGTCGGTTACGACACTAAGGGAACGCCTCTAGGCGAAGCAGGTCTGAACGTGAATGAAATCACTCCAATCCTATTGGCTTGTTGCTAGAACGGTAAGGTGTGACGGAATAACCGGAGGAGTATAAAGCACACCTGTACACACTCATCATTAGCTTTTTTCTATTCAGCAGGCGCTCTGTATGTTGTTTGAAGAAAGCTCCAGTCCTACAAGCAGTGTGTCTTACCTGAAGAAGAAGTCTACCAGCATGTCCGGCAACCAGATGTACAGAAGGTGTGTTTTTTTCTTGCCCTCGGTACATCACGGATGGAGATTCTCATGAGATGTGTGTCTCATGTTTGGGGATGGAGCACGCCCAGGCAGCTCTCGAGGGGGCTGCCTGCGCCCGTTGCAAGGCCCTTTCCGTGCGGGTACTGAGGTATGGCTCTCTTTTCCGAGGATGGCCGGATGTGTTCTCCCTGTGGTGTGGGCCCTGCGGCCGCTAAGGCGGCCCGGCGGCTTCACTCATGGGGTTCACAGCGTGATCTGTCGGAGGATTTCGGGACGGCTGAGGCTTTTTCCCGACCTTCATCCGCTGGCTCCGACGCTTCCTTTCCTCGTTCGGGAGCCCGTTCTCGGCTTCTCCCGCTCGCGGTTTGGATCTGGAGACGCTGCAGCAATCCGACTCCGAGGAGGCGAACGTGCTCAGCGTAGTGGACGATGACTTCCGGGTGTCGGGGCGGCGTCATCTGGCGGCGCCCGACTATGACGTGCTGCTGGAGGTGGTGACTAGAGCCGTGGCTAAGCTCAACATCAACTGGCCACAGGAGGAGAAGACACCACAGGCTAGTGGTAAGCTTGATGAAAGGTTTCTTAAGCACCACGTGCCACCTCCACGCCGGTCTCTGCCATTCTTTCCTGATTTACATGATGAACTGAGTAATCATGGGGCAGACCCTTCTCTACACGTCTTTCCACACCCCGATCACTGAACTACAGTAATGTGATGGGGGTTAGGGACCGTGGTTATGGGAGGATGCCTCTGGTGGAGGATGCGCTTGCGAGCTATCTCTCCCCTCGACTTGCGTCCTCCCTGGAGGAGCCGGCGTTACCCTCCAGCCATGTCGCACCACATCTACGCTCGTGGGGAAGGCGTACATGGCCGCGGGCCAGGCAGGTGCGAGCTTGCTCACCATGGCGGGTGCTTCAAGCCTACCAAGCCGACCTGCTACAGGAGATGGTTCAGAGGGGGGGTCCCTCTGAGGAAGATCTGGTGGAGCTTCGCAGAACCACGGAGCGTTAGACGCAGGGCGAAGCGTTCCGCCAGTACCTCCCTCGCCGGTCTGGACCCAAGGCAGCTGAGGCTGCCAGGCGTAGGTCCCTTCCCTCTACGAGCTCCTACGGAGAGGAGAGGAAGCAGAGTGTCGCTTCTTGGGGGCCCCCCCGAGGAGCTGGGGCAGCGAGACGGCGCTCTCACCCTCAGCCTTCTGAGAGACGCGATCTGAGGACCGTCATCCAGTCCCGACGGAGCTCAGGGAAGACCGGGGTAGGGGAGTCTTTCTCCCCTCCCGCACCCCCCCCCGGAGGCCGATCGAGGTCCCCTCCGCCGTGGCAACGGGTGATGTTATCCCGCCGTTTACACGTTCAGGACGCACCTGCCACCATCGAGTCCACGCCGTACTGCCTGCCCCGAGGGTCTGCAGTCAGGCGGCGTTCAGATTCACTCACCGTGGATCTTCGGCGGCTCTCCCCTGCCGTTATGGGGCTTCAGGGGTCCACCAGAAGATCACACGAGACACCGACCACCAGCCCCGAGGGGTTGGTTCCGTTGGCAGACTTTGCAGAGGCTTGGCGGAGCCTGACGAACATTTCTCCGTGGGTCCTGCGCACTGCCATACATGGGTTTCGACTACAGTTCAAAACCCGCCCTCCAAAATTCAACGGGGTGGTTTGGACTGTGATCCGCCCGGAGCAAGGTGCGGTGTTGGGACAGGAAGTTCGTACTATGCTAAGGAAAGGGGCCGTGGAACGTGTCTCCCCCCCAGACAGAGACGCCGGTTCTACAGCCGGTACTTCATAGTCCCCAAGAAGGACGGAGGGCTGCGCCCTATTTTGGATCTGCGGGTTCTAACCGGTCTCTGAGGAGATTCAGGTTCAAGATGCTCATCCCCCCGCCATCGTGACGCACATCCAATCTGAGGATTAGTTCGTCACGATAGATCTAAAGGACACCTATTTCCACGTCTCCATCCGTCCTTCTCACAGGAAGTTCCTGAGGTTCGCCTTCGGGGGTGTGGCTTACCAGTATCGGGTTCTTCCATTCGGCCTGACACTTCCCCTCGCACATTCACCAAGTGTGTGGATGCAGCACTGGCCCCGCTGAGGCTCCAGGGCATCCGGATTTCAACTACATCGACGACTGGCTCATCCTAGCCCAGTCTCGAGAGTTGGCGGTTCGGCATCGAGATGTCGTTCTGGCTCATCTGCGGCGTTTAGGGCTGAGGCTCAACGCAAAGAAGAGTGTGCTGGCGCCCACCCAACGGACTACGTTCCTAGGGGTAGTATGGGATTCGACAACGATGCGGGCACAATTGTCTCCGGCACGTGTCGACACCATATTGGCTGCCGTGAAAGGGGTGAAGTTAGGCCACGCCATCACTATAAAACACTTTCAACGAGTGTTGGGTCTCCTGGCGGCTGCGTCCAGCGTGATACCATCTGGACTGCTGCACATGGGACCCCTGCAGTGGTGGCTAAGGAACAAGGGTTTTTCCCCAAGGGGAAATCCTCTCTGTCTGATTTGGGTTACGCGCAAGTGTCTTCGTTCCCTATCAGTTTGGAAGGAAACTTGGTTCCTGTCCCAGGGGCCCGTGCTGGGAGGGTCTTGTCGCCGGCTGGTCATTTCGACAGACGCCTCTCTCACGGGCTGGGGCGCGGTCATGGACGGCCGCTTTGCAAGGGGATCCTGGCAGGTGCATCAATCCGAGTGGCATATCAACTGTCTCGAGATGTTGGCGGTGTTCCAGGCTCTAAGGAGTTTCCTGCCCGATCTCCAAGGCCACCACGTCCTGGTTCGTTCCGACAACACAGCGGGGCTGGCCTATCTGAATCACCAGGGCGGTCTGCGCTCGCGCCCTCTGTACAGACTGGCGCGTCAGATCCTCCTGTGGTCCCAGCAGAGGTTACTATCGCTCAGGGCGATGTATCTCCCGGGGACGCAGAATTAGGGAGCAGACCTGCTGTCGAGGCAGGGGCCGAGGCCCGGGGAATGGAGACTTCACCCCGAAGTGGTGGAGCTCTTGTGCGAAGAGTTCGGCCCCATAGACGTGGATCTGTTTGCGTCTCAAGAGACTACGCACTGCCCGCTATGGTTTTCTCTCGTTCCTCCAGTCCCGTTGGGTCTGGACGCCATGGTACATTCGTGGCCGAGGCTACGTCTGTACGCTTTTCCCCCAGTCGCTCTGCTCCGGGGGTTCTGGAGCGGGTCCGCCAGGACAATGTCGGCCTACTGCTCGTAGCCCCGTTCTGGCCAACCCGGGTGTGGTTCTCGGACATCATGTCGCTCCTGGACGGCCCGCCGTGGCAGGTCCCTCTGAGGAGAGACCTGCTGTCCCAGGCGCAGGGCCGGGTTCTTCACCCTTGCCCCGCCATATGGCGACTGTGGGTCTGGCCCCTGAGGGGGCACAGTACCTAGACGCACAGTACCTAGACGCGGTCTAACAGCCGGAGCAGTCGAGACCCTCCTGAGCTCCAGGGCCCCGTCCACACGGAGGATGTACGGCCTGAA